GGGGACACTGAAGCCCGGAGGTTGCAAATGAGGTCTTGCCAGCAGCACCCAGTGCTATCTCCCTGAGGTCATCCATGTGCTGCTTTCTCTAAGCACTGGGACACAAGGGCTTGCCTTAACAATCGCCTGTGTTTTCCCATGTAGGACTGTTCTTTATTGTAATGGACAAGGTTTAGAGAAATGGAGCTTCACCTTCAGAGGTGGGCACCACCACGACCACCATCAACCCCTGTGACTCTTGGCCAGAGAGCTGCTGTCTGTGAGGAGGAAGTGCTGCCCCACATCACAGGGATGTCTCCTGTCAGGTGCCTGCGAAGCACTGAGCAGCATTCAGTTATTATATTCAGTTTAAGAACCTGAACGTGCACAAGTCCATGGGTCCTGATGAGATCCATCCACGGGTCCTGAAGGAGCTGGCGAATGAAGGTGCTGAGCCACTGTCCATCATATTTGAAAAATCATGGCAGTGAGGTGAAGCTCCCGATGACTGGAAAAAGGGAAATATAAGCCCCATTTTCAAGAAGGGAAAATGGATGACCCGGGGAATTACAGACCAGTCAGTCTCATCTCTGTGCCTGATGGGGCTGTGGAACTGATGGACAGGGGTAGAGCAGTTGATGTCATCTACCTGGACTTGTGTAAAGCGTTCGACACTGTCCCACACGACACCCTTGTCTCTAAACTGGGGAGACATCAACTTGATAGGTGGACCACTCGGTGGATAAAGAACTGGCTGGATGGCCGCACACAAAGAGTTGTGGTCAATGTCTCAATATCCATCTGGAGACCAGTAACGAGCGGTGTCCCTCAGGGATCGGTGTTGGGACCGGTCTTGTTCAACATCTTCGTCACTGACATGGACAGTGGGATTGAGTGCGCCCTCAGCAAGTTTGCCGATGACACCAAGCTGTGTGGTTCAGTTGATACCCTGGAGGGAAGGAATGCCATCCAGAGGGACCCTGACACGCTTGTGAGGTGGGCTGATGCCAGCCTCATGAAGTTTAACCATGCCAAGTGCAAGGTCCTACACCTGGGTCGGAGCAATCCCAGGCACAGCTACAGGTTGGGCAGAGAAGAGATTCAGAGCAGCCCTGCAGAAAAGGACTTGGGGGTGTCGGTCGATGAGAAACTGAACATGAGCCGGCTTCAGTGTGCGCTTGCAGCCCAGAAAGCCAACCGTATCCTGGGCTGCATCAAAAGGAGCGTGACCAGCAGGTCGAAGGAGGTGATCCTGCCCCTCTACTCTGTTCTTGTGAGACCTCACCTGGAGTATTGTGTGCAGTTCTGGTGTCCTCAACATAAAAAGGACATGGAACTGTTGGAACAAGTCCAGAGAAGGGCCATGAGGATGACCAGGGGACTGGAGCACCTCCTGTATGAAGACAGGCTGAGGAAGTTGGGGCTGTCCAGCCTGAAGAGAAGGCTGCGTGGAGACCTCATAGCAGCCTTCTGGTGTGTATAGGGGGCCTATAAGGATGCTGGGGAGGGACTCTTCATTAGGGACTGTAGTGATAGGAAAAGGGGTAACGGGTTAAAACTTAAACAGGGGAAGTTTAGATTGGATATAAGGAGGAAGTTCTTTACTGTGAGGGTGGTGAGGCACTGGAATGGGTTTGCCAGGGAAGTTGTGAATGCTGCATCCCTCGCAGTGTTCAGGGCCAGGTTGGACAGAGCCTTGGGTGGCATGGTTTAGTGTGAGGTGTCCCTGCCCATGGCAGGGGGGTTGGAACTAGATGATCTTAAGGTCCTTTCCAACCCTAACTATTCTATGATTCTATGATTCTATACCAGTTCTGCATAGAAAGAGACTGTCAGACTTCTTCTTTTGGTTTGGTCTTCTATTTAACAGTACTTTTAAAAAAATAAAGGTAAAAAACCTTTTCAAAAACAGTGCTGGTGAATTTAGCTGAGGGATGGGAGGTAGGGTCTCCTCTGACTGTGGGTCAGTCTTGTTCTGGCCACTTGGGCAGACCCAGAAGGAGCTAGAAAGATTTCTTCAATTATGCCTCTTTATGAAATTTTTCCCTTGTATAAGGTCTATTTCCTTTTTTTTTTTTTTTCACTCCTAAACAAGCCTGTGTATCCTCCCCTGTTTTCCTTTCTCTGTGATTGTCCAATCAATTCATCAAACTGAAGCCCAAACTTACTTAACACTACATTTTGCCCTGTGGGCTTATGAAATCAAGATGTATTATTTCTGCTTAAGAAGATCATCAAAACAGCCAGATAATTGCCAGGGGATGATTATGAGTCTCTAATTACTATTGTTGCTGATGGTAACTGATGAGCAAAGACAAATGCAGCACAGTACTCTAAGTTACATCCTTAAGGGGACACAATCACAAAGTGTGTTTCCACCTCAGCTACAGCCCCGTCTCGGGCCACTAGTTTGCTCTCCCTGCTCAGGAGACTATTCCAGCTCCAGCCCCTCTTTGGGCTGCACCTTCAGCTCTGGCACTAACTTCAGCCATGACTGGCTCTCTCCTTGTTCAGGCCCACATTTTTTGGCCAGTGCTTTGGCTCCAGCCATTGCTCAGGCCATGATTTCAGCTCTGGCCTCATCTTGGACTCAGACTTCAGCTCCAGCCTGGCGCTAGGTCATGACTTTCGTGCTGTGCATAGCCATTCCTGGCTATGATTTTGGTTCTGGCCCCATCTTGGGCCATGACTTTGACTCTGGGTCTGCTCAGGGTGTAAATTCATCTCTGGCCCAATATCGGGCTGCTATCTGGGCTCAGCTGCATCTTGGTCTGCAACTTTTGTGCCTGTTTCAAGCTGATACTCCAGCCCAGTGCTGGCCACAACTGTTGGCTCTGGCTGCATATCACACTGTGAATTCAGCTCCCGCTCACCGCTCTGGCCCTATCTCAGAGCACAGCTTCAGCTCCAGGCAGGTATCAGGCTGCCACTTCAGCTCTGGCTCCTGGCTGGGCTGTGATTTTGGCCCTGGTCCCTTCTCAGGCTGTGACTTCAGCTCTGACCTCTGTTCAGGCTGTGAGCGAAGATACGGAGCCATCCTGGGCCACTACCATGGTTCCAGCCCAATCTTTGGCAATGATTTCACCTCCAGGGCCCATCTTGAGCCACAGCTTTGATTCTGGCCCCATCTTTGATCACCAATTTGTCCCCAGCCAATATCAATTGGGCTGTAACTTCAGCTCCAGCTCAGGCTTTCATGTCTGCTCCAGCCCCTGCTTCATCCTCAACTTCTGCTCTCCCCTATCTTGGCCTGTGATACTGTACAGCAGCTCTGGCTCTGGCCCGTGCTTGGGCTGTGACTTTGGTACTGGTGCCAAACTGACCTGCAATTCAGCTTTGTTAAGATATTGGAGTGAAACTTTAGGTCCTGCTTGGCCCCATCTTGGCTTTGAAACTTGGTTCCAGCCCAAACATTTGCCACAACTTTGGATCCGACCATCGCTCAGGTGGCTACTTTGGCTGTCGCCCCTCCTCAGGAGGTTACTGTGACTTGGCCCCTGTTTGGGCCGTGGCTTTGGCTCTGGCCCCGTCTTGGTTTTATTACTTTCTCCAGCCACAACTTCGGCTCCAGCCATTCCTCAGGCCACAAATCTGGCTTCATCCCCATCTTGGGCCGCCAATTTGGCTCCAGCCTGGTCTCCGATTGCAGTTTTGGTTCTGGCCCCATATATGACTTCATCTCTGGCCTCATACTGGCTCCTGCTCAGCCTGCAACTCTGCCTCTTGTGCCAAAGGCAGTTACTTTGCCATCAGCTTGTTAACAGATCACAGCTCTGGCTCTGGCCTGCCTGGGAGGGCATTATGGCTCATATTTGGCTGCTACTTGAGCTCCAGTCCCATATCAAGCTGTGACTTCGACTCTGGTCACTTTGCCATCCCCATCTTTGTCTCTGGTTTGATACTGGGTTCCAGCTTTGGCTCTGGCTCCTGCCTAGTTCATGACTTCTGCTCCAGCCCATTTCAGACAGCACCTTTGGCTCCAGCCTCTTATCATGCTGCAGCTTCAGCTCTAACCCTTTTTGGACAGTGATTTCAGCACTGTTCCATTCAGGCCAGTGGCAGATGTTTCTGAGACAACATCTTAAGCTCCTGTTGGATATCAGGCCATAGCTTTGGCTCCTGCCCCTGTTTGCGTCATGGCATCTACTCCAGTCCCATCTTGGGCTGCTACTTTGGTCCCACTTTGAGCCACAAGTTTGCAGCCCTGTATCAAGCTGTGATTTCAGCTCCAACCTCATCTGAGCTTCAAGATCAGCAGCGGCTTCATTTGTGCTGCATCTTTGGCCCTGGCCTGCTCTCAGGCCATGTCTTTGGCTCTGGCCCCTATTTAGGTTCATCCCTTGCCACATCTTGGGTTGTTACTTCGCCTGTGGCTGAAATCTTGGGCCATGGCTTCAGCTCTGGCTCCATCTCTAGATCTGACTTCAGTTCCATTCCAGTTTCAGGTCAACGATTTTAGTTCCAGACCCATCCTGGGCCTCTGGCTCAGGTCTGGCCTAATGCTGGGTTACTACTTCAGCTCAGTGGCTGTTCAGTCTGACTTTGGCTAGGGCTTGGTAGCAGGTCATGACTTTGGCACTTGCCCTGTGTTGGTCTGTGGCTTCATCTCCAGTGGCATATCTGGTCATGATTCTGGCCCAGTATTGGGCTGTGACTTCAGCTCCTGCCCTATCTTCAACCACTACTTGCTTTTAACTCACATTTGGCTCCAGTTCATGATTGGGCAGCTAACGCAGCTCTGGATCTATCTATCTGGAAATGGATCCTGTGAGTTGCACAGAGGTTCCCACATGTGGCCCCAGAGCAAGAGTATGATCATGCAAATACTACTGGGGCAGACTTCAACCTCTGCAGGGTGCTGCAGGACACAGGCAACACTGCCCACAAAAATGGAAAACCAGAACAAATGCCAGCATCAGAAGAATGTGTGAAGAAGAATGTGTAAGAAGTACACTAAACAGAAACAAAGAAAAGCATCTACTAACTGCAGTCGTACAGTAGTGCTCAACTCAGCAGTAACACAAGTTCACAGATTATTTTTTTTAATAATACTTATCAGAAACATGGCACTTTACATCTTCAGGGCACCAAATTTACAATGATTATTCCTCACAACTTCCCTGTGAGTTAGGCATTACATTGCAGTTACTATTTGACGTGGAAACAAGGCAGAGTCCTGCACAGTTAAGTTAATGAAGTTCAACTCACTGAAACACAGGGAGGCCCTCAGTGACTTGACTGAAAACGTAAGAGTGAGGCAGTGCTGATATTTTATCAGCTACAATTATTTTACTCTAGTCATTTACAAAGCTCAGGGTTCAACTCTGTTGCTTCTCCCCATACTCCCCTGCAAAAACCCCACCTTTGTTAAACAAGATAAACCAGCAGAGACTGGCTAAAACATGAGACCTGTAATAGGAATAGGAAAAACACCCTTCTTTAGCCTGCATTTGAATAAAGCCAAGAGAGCAGCTTGCCTGCCCAGTCAAATAGAACAGTTCCAACTTTAGTCCTTTATGACATCTCTGAGACAGCATTTCAGCCTTCAGCAATGAATAAGTATTTGCTTGACCCAAGAAAATCTAGAAGGAAAGAAAGTTTGGTAGACTGTCTCAGAAATTATGCTTATTTTAGTTGAATTGTTCTACCGAAGCCTGAGGAACTCCTGCATAGGAGGAAGAACTTTCCGGTTTAACTCTTAGTTTCACATGTATTCAAAAATCCACTTAATATACACATTTCTCAAGTAAACTTCTCATTTAGGGTTTTGTTTTTTTTTCTCCAAACAATGAAATAGAACAGTTTTGTAAACTTTAACATGATAAAAAAATAACCTAATTTTTAATAGACAATTATTAATATCATTTAATAATTTTCTACTGTAAATCAACTTTAGGAAACAAAGTATACTTGACAGTATGGCTACTGCGATTAATTCATCCTCTTAGAGCTTTCAGTTGAGATTTCTGAAAAGATACACCATCCAAGAAAGATTCATAGTCTCAGCCCCTAAAGGATCACAGCTCAGCTCAAGTCAATGCAGTCATTATAATTCATTCAGGCCAAGTAGCTAATCCATGGATTCCTTCATGTGCAGTACCAGTGATAATGGTCTGTCACCAAGTTGAGGGATGATCACGACTGAAGAGGCTTGGGTCCACATACTCTGAAAACCAAAATACGTTGCCTTTCCCAGTAGAGAGAGAAATCTTCCTTCTCATTTAATGGAAGATTCAATCTAACAGAATAATGGCTGTGCACTATGATGGAAGAATAAAGTAGTGGCTTCTGGAAGAAACTATCTTTGAGGGGTATGGGGAGGAGGGTGTGTGTGGTAGAGATAAAAAGGCAGAGCAGCCATTAACACTACTACCAACCGACATACGGACTTCTAATCCGAGATGCACTTTTCCATCTGCGAGTTGATATCTCATTACAACCTCTCCCTCAGGGAACTTTAAGCTTGGTGAATATACAGGAATTTTAAATCCACAAAGCAACTGTAGTCTCGGAAGGGGAGAAGAGAAAAAAAAAAGCTCAGAAGTGCACTTTGTATATCCTGTCTCACAAAGGGTTAAAGTGCTAAGTTTGATATAGCCAAAAATTAAGCATCTCTCCTACTCCTTTATTTTTTTAAAGGAAACTTTATCTTTGGTTTCTTGTATCTTCTCCGTAATCTTATCCTTTGTTTCCTCCATCTTCCCTGTAATCTTATCTTTTGTTTCCTCCATCTTCTCTGTAATCTTTCCTTTTGTTTCCTCCATCTTCTCTGTAATCTTATCTTTTGTTTCCCCCATCCTATCTTGTATATATTCCTTTACTGGTGGTGGTGTGGACATGTAGCCATGCTTACGTAGATACTTAACAGTGATGGATGTTCCTCCCAAAGTCACAGTGTATCTGGCAGGAGTTGCAATCTTCAAGAAAACAAAGAGGACACCATATAAATAAAACAAGACAATACTATCTAGTAACAGGTATTTTTAATATTGAGAATTTATTTTGGCCAGCATCAGATACTACAAAGTTCTTCTATTTATAAGGAAATAGGCCAGTTTACAGTGCATTCCCCCAGAAATGCGTATTTTTTGACAAAATCAGCAGAGGCATTAGACTTCCATAAAACAAAACAACAAAACCCCCAAACCTGAAATCCTCTCTGTGCAGCTGGTGGGTCATGCATTAGGCATCTCAGAATGCAATCCAGAACAGACAGCGTGTAAACACAGAGCCACATAAGCAAAAAGGAAATACTGACATGAAGATATGCTTTAAATTCTAAAATTCACAAGAGTATAGGCATCTTTCAGTCCCAAACTAGGACTCACACGTAGAAAACTAGAGCTCTTAAAGGAGACCTTAAAAGGTCCACTAACCCAAGGCGCTACCAACCAGGTTTGTTACTCTAGATAGACTAACCTGCTCTTTCAGAACTTCAAAGAAAAGCCTACACAATTTTCCATTCACCACCTATTCTTGTGCTTCTACATCTTACAAATTTCTTCCAACACTGCCAGATCTCCCAGCTATAATAAAATCTTTATATTTAACCACATTTATTTATTGGTTTCTTCTAGGCACAGGAATAATTGGCAAGAGTAGTGCTTTCACTTTTTCTGTTTTTTTATTTTCCTTTGTGAAAATGACTCCTTTAAATACCAGTTAAGAAGTTTCTAAATGTGATGTTTTGATGAGTGGCATTTGAAGCAAATATAGTATTTTGGTTTTGCATGGTCTGACATGTTTCTCTAACAGATTGCGCACAACAGAGACCCAAACCTGAATATAAGTAACTGATTCCAATGGGCAACTGAAGTACTTGACAATGGTGGAGAGCTAAGGTAGGAAGACAAACTAGCGAATCCTCTAGGATAAAAATAACTGCACTTTCATCTAGAAATCATAAGGTGTTTAGGTTTTACCTCTTTATCCATGTTAATTACATCAGGGATATAGAGGAATAACTTGATTGTAATTAAAATCTCTGAGGGCAGAGAATAATTCTGCAGCAAACAAGTTATTTCAGAAATACAGATAAACTCCTTAAAGAAACAGAGCCTCTATAAACAGGGGAAGTTTAGATTGGATATAAGGAAGAAGTTCTTTACTGTGAGGGTGGTGAGGCACTAGAATAGGTTGCTCAAAGAAGTGGTGAATGCTCCATCCCTGGCGGTTTTCAAGGCCAGGCTGGATGGAGTCTTAGGTGACATGGTTTAGTGTGAGGTGTCTCAGGCCATGGCAAGAGGGTTGGAACTTGATGATCTTAAGGTCCTTTCCAACCCTAACTACTCTACGATTCTATGAACTTGCATGTGACTATTTTTACTACAAAATGAATGCTCAAGTATGTGTAATTATTAAAGAGAGAAAACAGTATTAATTCCTTCTGCTGTAAACAAGTAAACCCTGTTTAGTTCACCAGGCAAGATTTAGAGCTTATTTACAAACTGTAATTATACTTACTTTATACAATGCATATGCTGTTAGCGCATTTCCACTCTGGGAATTTTTCAGGATGTTCACCACGGTGTCTGGTAAGCCAATCAACTCTAGGAATGGAACAATGTTCACTCCTCTACAAAAGAGGAAAAATTGGCAACCTGAATTGGAATTTGAAACCTAAGCAGTGATTTATAGTACCATTTTCATTCTTTATTATACCAACTTTGCAATTTGATTGCTTAGCTGAAACAATACTTTGCTATGTACTCACAGGATTTATATTTCTGTACATATAGGCAATTAACATTCTTTTCAGCATTCCTAGATGTGACCCATTTATATTATCCCTGTTGGGCTCAGTAACTACTGACTTACCTGTGTCTCAGTTTATTATGTTTGGAGGTAAGCAGATATTATGGTGGTAAGACAGCTGCTCAGGCTCCAGTTGTGCAGGTTCAACTTCATGTTCTGTTTTGCCTAAAATTACCTTTTTGTTTTCTTTTTAAAATTTCAGACTAATCTGCAGCATGCCCAGAAGCACAGAATCCATACTTCAGTGTCCACTATTCACTTTCAAATACATCAAACAAATGGAATGTGGCAAAAGAAGAAGATGTGACATGTTACATGGACAAGACTTCAGAGGTTTTGTGCCCAGTTGTTCTACCTTGTCAAGATGAGTGGAGGGAGCTCCTATCACAATTTCTTTCAATTTGAAAACCAGGGAAGCTAACATCAGCACTAAATTTAAAAAAGACCAGACAGCTCATCTTTACGTTACAGTAGAAAGCTACTGCAGAATGCATTTATAGAAGACCCATCTTTCCAATGTTTAGAGATGTAGTAGTTATTATTAGTGTATCTTTACCCACTGGTACTAATATTTTAAGCATTCTTCTGTATGTGTGTACTTTAACATCAGGAACCATAGCAGGCACTAAGTTACTAGAAGCTACAGTCTGAAAGCCTATCCCCAGAACAGAAAATGGAGACATAGTAAGATCTGAAAGACAGCATTAACTGTGTTATTTCATAAACCACCACTGTTTGGTCTCATATCATGAGCAGGCATTCTGAAAGTTATTTTTCCACTTCAAGAGGGTGCTGCTCCTGTGGCATGACGAACTGAAGCTTTGTTATAATTACTTTCTAGTTAAATATTCCCATCATTTTGATCTGTCAAATACTTATTTTAGCAGCTAACTTCATTGTTTCAAGAAAGCAATCTTCATTCAGTTTGAAATGCCTAGATGTAAGCATCAACCTGAATTCTTCCAAAGCAAAATATTTTTATAGCTCAAGACCTCTATTCCTCGGACACGAGCTAAATTTAGAATGACATTTGGATCTATAGCTCCTAGAAAGGGCAATTATGCCAGCTGGTTAGAGTAACTAAAACAAACACTTGTGTGGTAAGGCATTCTGATGTCTAAGCCCCATCCTTACCACCACAAGCTACTGTTGTTTCATGCTTTCTATTATTAAATATACAACACTAGCAATCCAGAGATAAACATTTACTGATATTTAGCAAACCATCTGCAGATAGATAAAACCTACTTCATCTGACTAGCAGCTCATATCTGATATAGGTTTTTTTTTCCCTAATACACATTTTCCAGAATAGTATCTGGCACATGCTATAGCTGAAAGAAACTAACGCTAGAAATTTCTATTAATTCCTATTTTTTCTTTTAGCCATACAAATAATTAACTTCCAGTTAACAAGTCTGGCCTACAGTAGCAACTTTTCAGTGTTAAGGCAGGAAAGACAAGAAACAGAAGTAAAAGGGAAAAGATACACATGGCTTCTGAGGAGCTCAGGGTGAGGTGAACAACATGGAAGTCCAATGATGAGACAGGACTGAGGATGAAGGGGGAAAGGAAGTGATGAAATGACTCTCAAGTCCAACAACAAAAAAAGAACAGGTCTATAAAGATCTCACCTAGCATTTTGAAATCAGGATTATAAATCCCTATCTTTACCTTGTGGGAGTTTACCAATAATTTCAATGCCATCTACATTCATGCATCTTCTGGGAAGATGAGCATTCCTTCAAATGTCAACCAACATAACAGCAATAACTGCATGATAATAGCGTGTACATGACACTCATGAATCCTGTATATTTCTGATATTAATTTTATGCTTCAACTAAAAATGTACCCTCATTTCCCTATTATGTATAGATGCACTTCTTAACATAATTTATATTTCCCTTCACTTGTGAAAGTCAGTCTCAATTCAACAGCAGCATTGGGCACTACAACAAAATATCAACTTACTGCATGGCTGCATAGTAGAAGGATCCGAACCACACAGTGGAAGTCACAAGATGCACTGGAATCATGACTTTTCCATACTGTTTAAAAGTTTTCTTAAATCTCTGAACAAGACTAATTGATTTGTCTTGTAATGGATCAGGTTCTGAAGAATTGGATCCTACAGGACTCTGCTTGGGCGTATCAGTGGCTGAAGTCAAACGATTTCTCTCTTCTAGTACTTTGTGAGGACTGTCTGCTGGCTGTGATGAAGAAGCACTTTTATTTGAGGCAAAGCACGCTGCACCTGCATGAAGACATCGTTTAGGAGGGTCCAGTGCCAAAATCACTTTGCATCCAATATTAGACAACACTGATTGTCCTTTTAAGCACTGAAAGATACCAGTGCGAGGAAGAACCACGTATGTCCCATGTGCCAGCTGAGCAGCAGTATGTAACAGACTCCGCTGCATTCTGATGAACTGTGGCTGAGGTTTCTATAGAGAGGAAACAAGGAAAAAAAAAAAAGTAAACAAATTGCATTTCAATAATCTATTTACTCCAATGCCACTCAAAATTCTCAAATTTTACATTGCTATTCTTCTACTTTAAAAGGTTTTCATAATCTGCCTTTTCAGAAATCGTTACCTTTACTAATCAGATAGTTTTAGATCAGTCTTCTTTAGCACTCTGAACTAAAATGGCCCCTTCACTTAACACACTCTGCTCCTCACAGCTAGAATGCTCGTTCTACTTTCTAAAAACATTTTTGGATGTTTAGGACTATCTACTGCTTTTATCTACATAATTTAACACAGTTATTGAAAAGTTACCCTTGAAACTTCACTTCTAGTAGCAACTGAGAGTTTGAGTCACACTTTGAGCCTAAGCGAATGTAGTATGAACTCCCTGATGTGCAATTAATTAATTTTCAGTGTCAATACATTTTTAGTTTTGATGTAACCTTTCACGTTCTATACTCCATACACTCTTCTGAGCAGAGTTCACAGTAAAAAAAATAAAATAATAAGAACCAATCAATAACCTTAATAGTAACAAACCTATCCATAACAGCCTGCCCATACACATCTGTTAGGCAGGGGGATGGTACTGTTGAATATCATGTATTAACACAAGCAAAATGAACTACAGTTTACAAAATATTACAATGCAAAGAATATTTTAAAACTGTGGATAACCCAGTTAACTTTATGATTTTGAATACTTAACAGGTATTCCTGAAAGTTCAAACGAACCACTGAAAGATTCCCCACAAGAGAGGAATTTTGTTTGGCATGTACAGACATCAAGCCATCATATGTTCCCCCCCAAAATGCATGCTTCAAACTAGTGAATTAAATGCTCTCTCCTTTCCTTTTTACAATGACTGCAAATTATAGAATTTTGTTTCCCTCCAAAAAAAAAGGTTGACTCATCGATTTTATGTAACAAATACCAGTTAAATCAGTTATATTACAACTTTTCAATCTTCCTGATGCCTTTACTTTAATTATTGTACCAATTCTTGATCCAAACTAGAAATCATTCAAGTTTAATTGAAATTCCACTGTCATTTTCATCTGCTTCCCTTCACATATAGCCTTTATTTAAATCAGGTGTTTTGACAGTGAATTTGTCTAGGCTGCTGAAAATTATTAATATTTCATAACATAGGCAGGAGTTAAAGAAAAAAAATGTAATTAAGCCATACATACCCCTTATTACTTTCCAGACATGCAACAAGAGAAATACGGTAAGGCTTGTATCTTCAAAGAGTTGCAGCTTTTCCACTAGTTCTCCACTTCTCAAATATATGTCTGAATATATGGATGTCTCTGCTAACGCAGAAAAAAGGCATGTTTAGAGAAACGGCAATAAAAGCACACTAGTATTAAGAAGATTTTTGGTTAGCCTGAAACCTTGCTTACTGAAGAAATTGTTGGTATAAATTCCCCTTTGGATACAGACACGCTAATGGGTTTTTTTTCTTGTATAACTTAGAAGTTCCTCAACTGTGAATTACTCTTTCCTTCCAAGACAAAATGCATCTGTTTGATCATTCCTACCTGTATGTTTCCTAGGTATTTTTATGCTATTGTTGTGCTTGAATTAATGGCAATTACTAAATTACAATGTTTGATGTGAGGAATGGTTTCAAAGTCCCCGGGAACCTCAGTGGTGCACGTGAAGCATAGACATTCACTTTTGTTACACTCATACCAACAGGAGGTATTGCATCATCGGGGGGGAAAAAGGAACTCTTGCCTCTTGTGATCAAGCAGTTACTGGGTTCTGTTGAGTTATGAACTCACTGGGAGAAAAGGAGTACTGCTGCTTATAGAACAGTAAATCAGGTACAGGTACTGCCTCTCAATGAGTCAGTCTTCTGTAAGAATTCACTGGAAGCAACAACTGCATGTGGTATCTCTGGTTTTACAAGCAGCAGACATTCTTGCCGACTTCTCAGATCTAAATGCTTCTCCAAACAAAAAACAGTGAAAATGCTCTGCAAAGCTCAAGTGTTAAGATGGCATTCTGTCACAGACCAGCTACCTTACTGATTTATAGAAATCGTAACAACAAACTGGAAGAAGACAACTATATTGCTTCCATATTGCTACTTACACTCCTTTCCTGAGGGATAACACTCTCCACAGATGAGTATTTTCCCCTCTCACCAATAGTACACAACACTGAACATCAGACCCTAAGCAGATTTTTGTAATATCCAGCCAGTAGACTTGGCAAAGGTAACTATCCATCTATAAGAATTCAGAGCTCGAGTCAGACTTCTGCCATTCATCTACTTTCAGTGGATGGTACCCTGCTGAAAAATACCTGTTCCAAATGAGCTTTTAAAATTGCCACCATACAGCATGGGGGAAACCATGCTAGCACTCTGATTTTGGTTCATTAACTCTGTTGTTGTCAGAACTCTGCATTCTGACAGCCTTGGAAGGAGCTCATTCTTCTGTACAGAAGCAAGAAGAAACTGAGTATTTCTGAATCTTCTCATTCTCATGTAGCATATATAGCAGCATTTCTCAGAACACCATTGCTAGTTTTTGCTGTCTAGCACCTACCTGATGGCACAAAAGTAATACCATACCACACCTCTGATACACCTGGTTGGGATTCTTGGACATCCATTTAGTTCCTGAAGGCACCTCTGTCTCATGGCAAGCTATTAACAAGCCCTCAGACATAAAGAGGGTGCTCTAGCGGCCTCTTACGGAAAATATCAGCTTCTCATTACTGTGCTAGAGGGTTTAGCAAACTCTTGTACTTCCATTATAATTTACTTTGGCATAAGCCTGATGTACTGCAGGAGTACCATATCTCTTGAATTTGCTAAACCTTTGCCTTCCAGTGATTACTAGGAAGTAGAGATTAGATGTGCTTTTGTTCCTGAGGACTCTAAAAGCTCAGGATCTTTTAATACCAGAGTTGGTCTATGTGAGTATCGCAAATTCATATGTTTGGATGTGTCCTACAGGAAAAAAGAAACAAGGGATCATTGGAAAACACAGAAGTAATAAGGCAGGCCAACATAGGTACAGCGAAGGCTGCTATGGATATCTGCTGTTGGAAAGTGAAATCATGCCAGAGATGCTGCCAGATGAAACTTTCACTGGGGTAATTTGTATAAAAATAATTACCCTGTTACAATTAAGTTTTTTTTTTAGGTAACAGAGAAGTTAAAAGACAAGAATGTGGGTACACTAAAGTTTTTGCCATCTTGTAAGTTCTTTTGTAAAAGAGGTCAAAAAGCATCTGAGGGAACTGAGGGTATAGTATATGTAGAACACACTGGCTTATTTTCTCACTTCTACCAGAAACACTCTGAATACAATCTGTAAATATGGATGACTTTAAAATATTTTTACTTGTTCTACTACTGTTTAAAAAAAGAACATTAATTATACCACAGGAGAGTTCCCAATGAAAATCCATGAGCTTTTTTTCACTCCCAAGGGATCTTTCTACAAAAACAGAGAACTGATTAACATTTTTGTAATTTTTAGTGTAAAACCAAGCAAACTTTGAGGCTTCTGGGTCACACATACAGAATTCTGAAAGGACACAAACCAAGTTTTCAGAAATCCTCTCCAGCATAGTGTGCAGTCACTACCAATGGATGGGAAAATGGCAGTGTATAGAGACTTTTTATTCTTTTAGTACTTTTACAGTGTATGAATAAGTATTTTATATTTTGGCTTTTATTATTATTGCAGTGTCCCTGATACAATCTCTAAACTAAGAAACTTGGTTATAATTTAAAGCTTTGGCATCACTAGCTATCTTATCTTGTCTACTATTTAGAACTAAAACCACAACACATTTTAAGTTAAAGGGAAAAATGCAAAATAAGTGAACTCGTTTACCAAAATACCCTAAAACATTAGTCCTATCCCACCTCCATCACTTCTAATCTCTAATACCTTCACTCAGTAAATGCTATGCTATAACTTTAAAATTGATTATATTACTACATCTCAATATTGATGTGAGTGGATTCAAGCCAACAACTTGTTTAGCCTTGCTTTATCTAAACTACTCTTGTTCTTACTAAAATAAACCCAGTGAAATCAAGAAAGTAGAATAAACCTTGATAAGGTCTTTACATACACAGCAATCTTCAGATACCTAACACAACAGAAAGTAGCCTTAGAAAGAATAAAAATTCTTGTAGACATTTATGGAGTCTGAACATTGGATCCAGAAGGCACAGTAGGAGAACCTAATGCAATGTCTGTGTGTCAAGTTACAGATCTGGAAGGCTAAACAGGAGGCTTAACAGCTGATCTGCACCCAGTCAACATGACAGCAGTATCTCCATTTACTTCCATATAGGAATGCGTTAGATTTTAAGCACACAGCTAAGTGTTATTTAAAGCGTGAATGGACTCTCCAATTCTTCTGAAAGAAAGTACCACAATCATTTGTGGTGCTTTTTGCTCTTCAGAACTATATTTTTAATAACTGGCGCTATTCCATCTTTCAACTGTTTCCCTGCTTTGCAGTGGTGAACTGGTGCACTGGGTTTCTTCATTCAGAAGTTTCATTCTGCCCTCTACTGAATTTTTACGTAAGTACACTTCTTTTACTACAAAAGGTCTCTACTCTCCACAATTCCTTTCAGCAAGTGTAAATTTGCTGGATCACCTTCTATGTTGGTTCCAGAGTCCTCAAAAACAACAGGCACATGTCAACGGAAGGAGAAGAAAAAAACACCAACAACCCTGCCTTTTAAAGTGCTATCTGATTTGATTTTTTTCTGTCCATTTTTGCCCCAATGATGTATCTGCAATAAGCAAGTTAGAGAAGTTATGCTTGAACATGTTAACTAAGCTTAAAAAGAGGCATATACATCTATGCTAAGAAGTTCAAAACCAGGACTGTACTTGTCTGCTTATTATTTTGCCTTTCTGCACATTACTTTTCACTTTAAGCTAATGATAAAATAAGATCTAATTCTCTCTCCTTTTCATTCCACTCATATAATAACTTTCCCAAGCAACTCCTAATAGCCTCTTGTCTCCCAACACATCATTAGGTCATTCCACTCAAAACACTTGTGTTTTTCTGTCAGAGGATAATTAACATGGAGGAGTGTGTGTGGTGGGCTGCAGGTTTACAAAGCAGTGGGAAGCTTCTACTAAATGACTAAAAGGGGCTGTGGAGGGTTGTTCACATAAGGAAGCCTCATGTGAGCAGTTTCCTGCACGTGGCTTTGAATTCTTTCAGGAGAACAAAAAAAAACCCAACAAAAAAAAAAAAAACAAACAGAACAAAACAACCCAAAACCCCACAACTACACTGGTGAGGGGTCAGATGCTAAAACACAAACACACAAATTCACAGACAACTTTTCTGCACCTCACTGAAACACTGTTTAAAAATCTCTTTGAGTCTCCTCTCTCCATGGTTCATTGAACTTTGGCAGATTCCTCACCTCTTAACTTTCATTGAGCATCTCAAGAGCTCTGACTCTACATTTTAAGACATGCTAGATGGCATCAGAAACATAACTATTAGTTACACCTTGAGGATTATGATAATTTCTTTTATGAAGTTCTGCTACCTCTCTTTAGAGTTCAGAGCTCCTGTGCACATCTCTTTTCACTAGCAGAACCATCAGTAACAGTCAAAAAGATTTAAGTCAAAACTGAACTCCACCTTGCTCAGGAATTCCTGCTATTCTTACTTTGGGTTCTAGTAGCCAAGTTCTTTTCTTAATTCATAATCTTTCTGCTCACCCAGGACTTTGCTGCCATATACAATTTAGATTATACTATTTAAGCAGCTCTTGGAGTTACAATCAAATACTTATTCCTGAAAAGTCTAATGAAACAACTGGAGATACTCTGCATTTATTAAGGATATGCTTAAACTTAGATCTTCACATTAACTTTGTACAGCCTTCTGCCTCATCTTCCATTGTGATTACCAAAATGGTTTCTTTTCTAGCCATGATAAATGTCATTTTTGCCACCTTGGATCTTTGCAGGCCTTGTCTCATTGTCCTCTGTCTCTTCCCTCCATAACTTAACCGTAAACAACAGCATTGGCTGTAATAATATTTTAAATGCCAATTATACTACGTAACAATTTTACAAAGCACTTAAAACAACAATCCTCAATAAGTAGTAAGTCTTTACTCTACAAATACACCCAAAGTTCTTCTAAGACTTTCAAAAAACATCCTCAAAGAAAAGCTCTGAAGCCTTCCAATTAGAAACAAAGTAGGAATAAGTGTAAACCAGCCCCTTCCCCTCCTCCCTCCTTCAGTAAGAACAGAATTCACATTCTGGAAGCATTAGGTACAA